AGCCAGAGAGAAGAACCCGTCCTCAAGGCAGAGCTGGGTCAGAGCACGGAGCCCACCTCCTCAACATAGTGATGCCTCCCCCTCGCACCTGGCCCCCCTGCAGGACAGACTGGGTGGCCTGGCAATCACAGGAGGGAGGCCTGGCTATTGCGAGGTACCCAGGACACTGGGGGACACAAACATTCTGCTTATCAGAGAGAGAATAATTTTAATGTAAAAGCTAGTAGCTACCATTTCTGAAGGCCCACTCTGTGCCTGGCACTGGGCTAACATCTCCTCTAATCTTCCCAACATCACCTTGAGGTAATCAGTACCACCCCATTTCAGATGACAAGACCGGAGCTCCTGGGGTGAAGGGCTGTGCCTGAGCCCCAAAGCTCTAAGTCAGTGGTTCCACCCTGTGGGTCGCGACCCCTTTGGGGTTGAACGACCCTTTCACAGGGGTCGCCTAAGACCATCGGAAAACACATATATAATTACATATTGTTTTTGTGATTAATCACTATGCTTTAATTATGTTCAATTTGTAACAATGCAAATACATCCTGCATATCCGATATTTACATTACGATTCATAACAGTAGCAAAATTACAGTTATGAAGTAGCAACGAAACAATTTTATGGTTGGGGGTCACCACAACATGAGGAACTGTATTAAAGGGTCGCAGCATTAGGAAGGTTGAGAACCACTGCTCTAAATGGATGAGCTCAGCTCCTTCCCCAGCAAAAGGTCTCTCACCCACCACAATGTTGCTCTGATGGCTTTGCCAGTAGTTTTGTGGACAAACGGAGGAGAGTGGTCTGAGTCTACAGCATGTGGGACTTAAGTCAGATGTGAAGAGTAACAGGGAGGGGTACCAGACCCTGAATGACCAGCAAATGGGAGCTAGACGCATTTCTCTCTGTGGATGTGAAAGTCTTCCTGACTTTTCTCAGCACAGACCCCACTGCCCCGCAGCCTGTGGGGAAAGTCCCAGCTGGGAGGTGTGCAGTTTCCAAGGTTGGTGTAAATAAAGAAAAACCCCAGAAGAAACGTTGCCCTCCAACTTGCAGGTGCCATGCCTTGCCAAGAGGCCCCACAGCTAGTTGAAACAGGGACTAGAACTAAACCTCAGCCCTGTACTTTGCTGCTACACAATTAAAACTCCCATGACCAGCATCTGGATGCCTCTCAATGAGGAGGAGAGTTGGTTCCTAGGATGGAGAGGAGCAGGTGACTGACATGCGTGGTTAAGCAGGTTCCCCAGCCAAAAAAATTTCCTCCCTGTTTATTTTCATGCCTCACACCTCACTATTAGCGCATTAGCCCTTTGGGTCTTTCATTCATTCATTCAAAGCTATATATGGAGCACCTACTATATGCCAGGCATTGGGTACCAAGTCACGTATGACATGGTCTGCCCTCAACGCCCCTCAATCTAGTGGGCAACAGGGGTTTAGGGTTCTCTGTGAAGATGTAAATACAGTCAACCCTTATCATTCACAGGATATTCAGAGTCCATATATGCAAATTCGCCTACTCACTAAGATGTGTAACCCCTAAATCAGGGGTCCTCAAACTACGGCCCGCGGGCCACATGCAGTCCACCGAAAACATTTGTTTTTTTTTACTTCAAAATAAGATATGTGCAGTGTGCGTAGGAATTTGTTCATAGTTTGTTTGTTTTTTAACTATAGTCCGGCCCTCCAACGGTCTGAGGGACAGTGAACTGGCCCCCCTGTTTAAAAAGTTTGAGGAACCCTGCCCTAAATCAATACTTACAGTCATTTCCTAATCATTTGCAGATGTGTATATGTGCTGAGCAACCGAAATGTAAGTCACACATATTCAGCTGAGTTTGATTGAACAAGGCTGCACTCTGCCTTCTTGTCTCAGCTCACACACGGTAAACAAGTGTCCTTTTTGCAATCTACTTAATGCCATGTTTTTTGCACTTTTGTGTTTTTTGTTCTTGATTTTGCTGTTTACAATGGTCTGAAGTGTAGTGCTGAAGTGCTGTCTAGTGTACTAAATGCACGAAGGCTGTGATGTGCCTTATGGAGAAAATGCATGTGCTAGATAAGCTGTGTCCAGGCATGAGCCATGTGCTGCTGGTCGTGACTTCAAAAGTAATAAATCAAAATATATCTATATAATAAAAGCCTAAGCGACCATTACAGTGAACAACCAGAACGACTGGTCATTATGATGCGCATTGACCACCTGGGGGCAGATGCTCAACACAGCCAGAAGCCAGGCTCACAGCTGGAGAACACAGCGGCGGTGGCGGGAGCCTCTCCTGCCTCCGCAAAGCACTAAGAAGCAGCGAGCCGAACGGTAAGGAGCAGTGAACAGGTGGGTGGTAAGGAGTGAGGGGTGCCAGACTGTGAGAGAGATGTCTGACTATCGGCTTAGGCCCAATCCCCAGGGGGAGTGGGCCTAAGCCAGCAGGGGGACACCCCCAAGAGGTCCTGGACTGCGAGAGGGTGCAGACGGGGCTGAGGGGGGACCTCCACCTCAGTGCACAAATTTTGTGTACTAGGCCTCTAGTCCTATATGATAAAGACCTAATATGCAAATGGTTGTCACACCCTCATGTGGGGGGGGACCTGAGGCTGGGCTAGGGAACCTGAGGCTGGGCCGGGGGACCTGAGGCTGCGTCCCCTGCCCGGTTGGGCTTGACAGGGGACGTGAGGCTGCGCTCCCCACCCTGCAGGGCTTTATGGGGGTGGGGCCGGCCGGGTCTGGGTCTCATGCGATTTTGAGGTGTGCGTAGGTGGGCGTGGACTTGACTTTGGGTCCTGTGGCACGCCCCAGACTCTGACAGGAGGGAGATTTTAATATACATTTTACTAACTTACTTTCATCTCTGACACTTCTATTATAGAGAAAGGGCAACTAGCAATATTAAAATTTTTCCTAATTAATTCCCTTTTAATGTGCACAGATTTTGTGCACTGGGCCACTAGTATTAAATAAAATGTCTTTGAACAGAGCGAGACATGTCTAAAGGCACCAAGATAGCCAAAAGGTGGAAACAACCCTTGCCCATCAACAATGAATGGATAAACAAAATGTGGTACAGTATATCCACATAATGGAAAATAGGAGGCAAAGGAAAAATGGCTGATTTACAGCTAGAAATGAAAAGAGATGAGACAGGAGAGTTCCCAGGCCAGAGGCAGGCAGTACCGAAGGATGAAGGAAGGAGAGGGCAAGGAGGAGAAGAAAGGAGCCCAACAGAGAAAAGGGCTGGGCGGGGCTGGGCGGGGCCATGTACTCAGCTGGAAAAAACTGACCCCAGTGTGACTTTAGAAGGCTGGCCAGGGCTTGCTGGAGGCCAGGAAAAGGCCATTCTCAAAAAGTCACAAACCACACAAGCCTAGGTGTCACAGTGCCCGAGTTCTCACCACCAGAGCACCCTTCCTTCACTCTGAGTGCTGCTTCCTCCTCTCCTAACAGGTGTAAAGCTCTGCGAGAAGCTGGGGGAAGCTCAGCAGAGTCTGGTCCACTGTGAAGGAAGTTCAGCCCTGGTCAGTGGCTCAGGTGGCTGGAGCATTGTCCTGTACACCAAGTGGTTGCGGACTCAATCCCTGATTGGGCACGTACAGGAGATGGCTGATTGATGTTTCTTTCTTCCTGCCTGTCTGTCTCTCTCTCTCTCTCTCTCTCCCTTCCTCCATCCCTAAAAAATCAATAGAAACATATCCTCAGGTGAGGATTATTTTTTTAAAAAGAAGGTTCAAGGTAGGCCCTGAATTAAAATCTGCCTCTTCCCAGTAACTTATTTAACCTCCCTAAAGCTTCTGTCACACAGGAGACCCGCCATGCAGAAAGATGAAGGGTTGAGTGAGGCACACAGGTAAATTACATGCACACAGCGCTCGCACCACCCACTACCCCTATCTAACCTCTTAGCGTGAAGACATTTATCACATAATATTTCATGACAGAATAGGAATGGGAAGGGGGTGACAGAAAAGAAGGCAAAAAGAGGACCCCACAGTCCTACCCGGTGTGCGATGTGTTGGAACCACAGCCACAGAGAGCAGACCCGGGCAGGCCTGGCCTGGACAGGAGGGGGCTGTGGGGCAGAGACTCAGGCCTGGGCTCAGATCCAGGCTGGGCCTCATGCTGCTCATGCTGGCCTGGTATCCAGTATCCCTGGGCAAGCTGCTCCACTCTGAGCCTGTGTCCTCCCAAATATAGTCCAGAGGTAATAATGTTACCTCCTCATGGAACTGTCTTTTTTTTTTTTTTTAACTTTTGTGAGTTTTATTTAGTTATTTAGTTATTTATGTATAATCTTCACCCAAGGATATGCTTATTTTATTTATTTAATTTTTATTTATTTATTTTTTAGAGAAAGAGAGAGAAACATTGATCAGTTGCCTCTCACACTCACCCCTACTGGAAATTGAACTGGCAACCTAGGTACGTGCCCTGATCCAGAATTGAACCTACAACGCTCCAATCAACTAAGCTACCCTGCCAGGGCCTCATGAGACGGTCTACTCTAGAGGATTAAGTTCAATCATGCTCAGATACAGGCACAGAGGTGGCTCTCAGAAGGTCTCCTCAAACATCTGTGGTTATTGGAGGGATGGTGGAGGGAGCAAGAACCAGTGTGAAGCAATGACCGATGGGAAGCAGTAAAGAAGAGAGGAACAGAAGGAATGAGGGTCAACAAGAAGAGAGATAAGTAAATAGGTGGAGAGGAAAGCAGGCCAGTGGGAGGTATCTCAACAGGGAGGGGCCATGGGTGGCTCAGAGATGAAGAGAAAAGGAAGGGAGATAAAATTCTTGAGTAGATAAAGGCCCTAAGCCCTTGGGGTAGCAGAGTCTCTATCCATTCCCCAGCCCCACACCCAAAGGGCCAGTATTCTACCCATCACCTCTCCAGAAGCTGGAACCAGGAAAGCTGCCCCAGCCACTCCCTCTGAGCAGCCAGGGATGTGGGTGTCTGAGGGCCTAGCCCTAACACATCCAGGAAGTGGGTCACAGCACGAGGGTGTCCACAGACCTCCACGCTCACCCTACCCTGTGGCCTGCCCTGGAGCCACCAAAGGGGCTGATGAAGCTGTGATGAAACAAGCTTTAGGCCCCAGCACAGTGCCTGTCACAGCAGCCCCTCTGAATAGGCTGTGAAAGAAAGGCAAAACAGGCTCCAAGCTCAGCCTTGCCACAAATTCATGGTTCCTCTTGAGCCAGTCAGTTGCCTTCTCTGGATCTCAGAGTCCCCACTTCAAAGAGAAATGGTGGGTAAGTAGAATATTCAGTGACAATATGATGAGCTATCAAGCCATGAAAAGACCTGGAGGAACCTTAAAGGCATACTGCTAAGTGAAAACCAATCTGAAAAGGGTGCATATTGGATGACTGCAATCATATAACACTCTGGAAAAAAACAAACTGGAAACAGGGAAAAGACCCAGGGTTGCCAGGGAATTGAGGAAAAGGAGGAATGAACGGGTGGAGCAGAGGGGATCTGAGGGCAGGGAAGTTACTCTGCGTGATACTGTCAGGGCGGACACCTGCCATTACACAGTTGTTACACCCACAGAGTGAACAACACGAAGAGCGAACTCGGACTTCAGTGCAAGGTGTTAATAATAAGAGCAAGTGGGGGAGAAGGGAAGGAACTATCTATACTTCCTGCTTAGTTTTTCTGTAAACCCAAAATTGCTCAAAAAAATAAAAGCTATTAGTTTAAAAAACAAAACAAGCCCTAGCTGTTTGGGCTCAGTGGATAGAGCAGCAGCCTGTGGACTGAAGGGTCCCGGGTTTGATTCCGGTCAGGAGAACATGCCCAGATTGTGGGCTCAATCCCCAGTGGGGGCCGTGCAGGAGGCAGCCGGTCAATGATTCTCATCATTGATGTTTCGATCTCTCACTCCCCCTCTCCCTTCCTCTCTAAAATCAATAAAAATATATTTAAAATAAATAAAAAAACAAAGGTGGGGAGAGTAGGTCTTGCATGTTTTTTCTCCACAGGGCCTTTCCTCAGGATTCTAAAATAAAGCAAAATTTAAGAAAGTGCTTCACTTTAAGTAGGCCTGTCCTATGAAAATTCAGATCTCAAAATAGATAACTGAGCCTTTGCCTAACAGGACTTGTCACTGAATCCCGTCAAATGGCGATCCCTCTGGGAATTGACAGAACCAGAGCTCATACACACACGAACAGCATGCCGCTCACCAAATGCTTGTTTCCCAGGCCTGGGGTGGATCTGCCTAATCAGCTGCTCACCCAAAAAGAGACAAGACCATGCCCCACCCTGCCAGGACCAGAGGTGCACCCACATCTGGTACCCATGCAACATAAGGCACTTCAAGTGGGGGCTCTGAGTGCAGGCCCTGCCCAGAGAGGAGGCAGGCAGGGGCTCTGCGTGCTGGAGAGCAGCCCTCCAGTGCCCAGAGCATCATGGGGCCTGGGAGCCCACAGGGCTCTGGGGCACCAGCATTAGCAGCTCCAGGAAAGCAGGGCTCCCTCTTCAGCTCTGCCCACACTCCACCTCTAGGCCTTAATCATCTCTGGAAAAGGTCTGTCCCAGGGAAGAATGAAGACTCCAGCGTCTGGGCAGTGCCACAGCTCCCAGGACACAGGAGCTGACAGGATGGGCTGAGCATGAACAAGGGGCAGAAGGAGCACCCATCCTACCCTTGGTCATTTTTCATAGAAATGTTCTTCCATCTCGGAGCCTCTCTGCTCAGACAGAGATAGACATGAAGATTGAGATGCTCTAGAAGTGCCAATGGCCCAAAGCCCTCAGACCTTTGGCTGAGGTCACCATCACAGAGGACCCACCCTGACCCAGAAAATACAACCCACTGATTCTCTCTTGCGCCAGCCACACTCCTACCCAGTGGCTTACCCCTGAAGGCCTGACAAATGCCCCACCTCCCATTCCAGAATGCATGGTCATTCAGTTTGGAAACAAGGCCATGTAAATGGCTGATACCCAGGCTGAGCCCAAGCATTTGTTGTTCTATATGGGACCAGCCCAACCTGACCCAGCCAGCCATGGGGAATAGACCAGGCACAGCCAGTCAGACAGGGAGATGCCCAGCAAACCATGCTCTATGGCGAGTGCTAAGCCAGGAACAGACTTAGCCAGGGCCTTCATGAAGGCCCTGTTCCTTCCTACCTTTTTCATAGGTCATTCTCTAGGAGTTTCCCCCACCCAGCCCGCTGCCTCATCCAAGTCCCACTTCACCCTTGAAGAAAGGTCAAGGCTCATGACACCAAACTCTAAACCTTGCTCTCAGAGTCCCTCACACACATCATCCTCTTTTGGATATTTTTCTCCATAAATGAGTTTTCTCCAAACATTTTTTAAATGTGTAAATCACACATCTGACTTACATGCAAAATATTAAAGTCAAAACATAGACAAAAGATTTGGATTGACACTTTACCAAAGATGTTACATGAATGGCAAACACCTGAAAAGATGTTCAACATCATTAGTCAATAAATAAATGCAAATTAAAACCACCATGAGATTTCACTACACACCCATTAGAATGGCAAAAACAAAAAGAAGCCTGATATACCAAGTGCTGTTGAAGATATTGAGCAAAGGAATGCTCATGCTTTGCTGGTAGGAATGCAAAATGGTATACTTTGGGAACAGTTTGGTGTTTTCTTAAAACATTAAACACACACGTGCCATATGGAATACCACTCCCAAATATTCCCACTCCAAGAGAAATGAAGGTCTGTGTTCACACAAAAACCTGGACATGAATGTTGACAGTAGTTTTACTCATAATTGATAAAGGCTAGAAACAACCCAAAAGTCCTTTAATGGGTGAACGGATGAACACATAGTGGTGCATCCATCCACACAATGGAATACTACTCAGCAAAAGAAAGGAATGAATTCTTGATACGCACAACTTGGATGGATCTCAAAACATTATGCTGAGTGAAAGAAGCAGGCTCAAAAGCTACATACCATAGGAGTCCATCTGACATTCTTGAAAAGGCACAATTACAGGAGTGCAGAGTTGTCAGGGGATGGGCTTGGGGGAAGGGTCCTAAAGGGGCAGCACAGGAGGGCACCATTTGAGGAGACAAAAGTTCTGCCTCTTGACTGTGGCGATGAATACCCAACTATATATATTTGTCTAAATCTACAGAACTGTGCACCACAGAGTAAATTTTGCCGTATGTAAATTTAAAATTACATTTTTAAAAAGTCCTCCTTATTCTGCCCAGAGGGCCCAGCTCCAATCTATCTCTTCCATAAAGACCAGTTATCTCCATGACTATAGCCCTGAAATCACTATTTTTTTTCTGTCTTCCCAGATTTAGTCCTCACTTCCTTCCTCTCTTCCTCTGTCTCTCTCTTGTTTATACACAGCGCAATCAAAACCCTACCCATCCCTGCCCGGACGGCGTAGCTACCAGTAAGTGGTTGAGCATCGACCTATGAACCAGGAGTTCAAGATTTGATTCCCAGTCAGGGCATGTGCCTGGGTTGTGGGCTCGATCCCCAGTGTGGGGCGTGCAGGACGCAGCCAATCAATGATTCTCTCTCATCACTGATGTTTCTATCTCTCCCTTCCTCTCCATTCCTCTCTGTAATCAATAAAGAAAACTTTAAAAGCCACACAATAAAATGTTACTATAGGCCGAAACCGGTTTGGCTCAGTGGATAGAGCGTCGGCCTGCGGACTGAAAGGTCCCAGGTTCGATTCCGGTCAAGGGCATGTACCTGGGTTGCGGGCACATCCCCAGTGGGGAGTGTGCAGAAGGCAGCTGGTCGATGTTTCTCCCTCATCGATGTTTCTGACTCTCTATCTCTCTCCTTTCCTCTCTGTAAAAATCAATAAAATATATTTTAAAAAAATGTTACTATAAATAAAAAAAGTTTTAAAAAAAACCTTACCCATCCCACAAAGCTTGCTCAAGTGCCTCCTCCTCTGTGAAGTCTTCCCTGACTCCTCCCAGCTGCATCAGAATGAATCATCTTTACCAGGCACCCCCTTGTTGGTGCCTCTAATTAGCCCTTCCTGCATCTTACAGGCTCAGTGTCTGCTTTCAGTCTGTCTCTCCTGCTGTATCACAAGCTCGTTGAGGATAGGGACCAGGTCTTCCCTCCACATTCCCCACACTGCACCTGGCACAATCCAGGCACACAGTGGGTGCGCTGAGACCACAATGGATTGACTGAGGCCAGGTGCAAGCAGAGGGGGCTGATGCCAAGAGCACTGGGCTGGCAGTGCTGGCTGGCGGCGCTCTGAGTGGTACTTTGCCGTATGTAAATTTAAAATTACATTTTAAAAAAGTCCTCCTTATTCTGCCCAGAGGGCCCAGCTCCAATCTACCCCCTGGTAGCCACTGGTACTTCTCCTGTACAAGCAGCACAAATACTGCCTAAACCTTCAAATACTGGAAGTGACCTCTGCTCCCTTCCAACATGAGGCCATTCAACTTACGATGGAACATTTCTGAAGATGCTTTTGCTTCCTCCATGCCACCCAGCACCATTCCAAGCCCCAAGGAGAAAGATGTTGGGCACGCACCTGTTGAAGGACTGGAGCCTCTCTTGTCATCAGGGTGTGTCATTTCTCACTTTCAGAAGGCCCTCTCCTCAGCAATAGCAGGTCAGGTCCATCTGCTCTGAGACAGGTCCATTATGTAGAACTCCCAGGCACAGGCACAGTGAACCGGCAACACCACAAGACCACTCTGTGACTGGGTTTTTCCAAGCACGTCCCCAGCCTCTCTTTATAAATTCTAGCTTTCCAGGGCTTAAGGACCATCTATACGCAATTTATTTGATAAAAACTTATACAGTGGTTAGTATTTGCCAGGCAAAAAACTAAGCGCTCTATAAATAATAACCAGTTTAATCTTCACATCAACCACATGAGGTTGGTTCTACTAATATTATCATGCCCATTTTGCAGAGGAGAAAATAAGACACATTGCAGCTAGATAACTTGCTCCAAAACTATCCTATCCAAACTTAGCCACTAGCACCTCATGGCTACTGAGCACTTGAAAAGTGGCTAATTCAAATTGAGATGTGCTTTTAAAGTGTAAAAGAATACATGCTAGCCTTGACTGGTTTGGCTCAGTGGATAGAGCGTCGGACTGCGGACTCAAGGGTACCAGGTTCGATTCCGGTCAAGGGCATGTACCTTGGTTGCGGGCACATCCCCAGTAGGGAGTGTGCAGGAGGCAGCTGGTCAATGTTTCTCTCTCATCGATGTTTCTAACTCTCTACCCCCCTCCCTTCCTCTCTGTAAAAAAAAAGTTAATAAAATATATTTTCTTAAAAAAGAATACATGCTAGATTTCTAACACTTTGTATGAAAAAAAAGGTAAACTATCTCATCAATTGTTTTAAAGTATTGATTATATGTTTAAAAATATTTTAGGCATAGTAGTTTAATAAAACACATTATTAAAATTCATTTTACCACTTTCTTTACTTCTTAAATGTGGCCCCTAGATGACTTAAAATTATCTACCTGGCTTATGCCATATATCTATTGGACAGCACAGGTCTGGAGTCTGAGCTCGTAGCCACCACGCCATGCTGGAGTCATTTTCCCCTGCCCCCGCCTCAGGGTGCAGCCTGTCCCTAACACCTGTTCATGCAGCTGGTACAAAGATGATGGGGAGCCAGGCAGTAACTCCCACATCTCCCCTTTCTGTCTCCTCTAATTGCCTGGACCCTGCCCCACCCTGCCCCCACATCTCTCAGCCTTGCCTCCATCAGGAATCCCAGAATGCCAAAGTGGGAAAATACCTCCCCCATTGCCTAGTACAATCCCCACTTGCTGCATGTGGAGAAACTGAGGCCCAGAACCACATGGATGAGACCTCCAAAGCATCCCTGAGTTCCAGGTAATGAAATTCTATGTAGTTCTAGGTGGTACTACGTAGTGAAACTGACTTAGGGCAGATGGAGTTGACGTACTACTCCTGCAAAGAGGGCCCGCCTTCTGGAAATGAGAAATGACACACCCTGATGATGGGACAGGTCCAGTCCTCATCTGCCCTCTGCTAAGACACTCACAACACCAGCAAGCTGCATACTTAACAGGTCAGGGCGTATCCACCCTCCAAAAGCAGAGGTGGCTCCCAAGGTGGCCCGAGCAGCACAGAGCTTAGTGGACTAAGGTTTTCCTTGACACAAACCCCACCACACCACTAGGCACACAGACTCGGTTTAAGGGGTGGTGCGAAGACTCAGATCGATCTGGGTTCAAACTCCAACCCAAGCATTAATCTCTGTGTAACTTTTCTCCTCTTCTGTACAGTAAAGGTTAAAAAACAAAACAAACAAAAAACGAACTCTACCTCACAAAGATTAAAGGAGATGATGTAGGCAAAAATGTCTAGAATAACACCTGGTACCTAGTAGGCACTTCATAAATGTTCATTTCCCTTCCCCTTCCTTTGTGAAATGAAAGCCCAAATATGTTTTCACCACAAGAATTGATAGTTCCTATTCCATACTTTTATAATTGATGTTTTGAACTTAAATGCAGGATTTAACACTTAAATCTATTAGATTTTATCTTAAGGAAAGTATAAGTGTTCACATTGCTAGATAGCAAGTAATTTTCAATGGCTAAAAGTCGAA